ATGGCATACGTTTTAGTGCTGCACGCGCATTCTTGCGTCCCGCACGCTACCGTGAGAATCTTCATATTCTACTTAACACCACTGCTTCCAGAGTGCTCTTCCAAACGAACAGTACAATCGTTAATGGTGTTGAATTGATCGATAGGAATAACAATACTCTCACAGTTTCTGTAAGGAAAGAGGTGGTCGTTAGCGCAGGCGCCTTGGACTCACCAAAAGTACTATTGCTTAGCGGTATTGGACCAGAAGAGCTTGATACCTTTTTTTTTAAAAAAAACGCATAAAATTTGCAAAATCTCATCGGTTCTTTATTTGAAACGTTAGATTGGTCCATGACATTTACTTTTTGAAGATAATTTCATTTAAATGTTGACCGCGGCTGCGTCTTAGGTGGTCCATTCGGAAAGTCCAATTTTGGGCAACTTTTTCGAGCATTTCGGCCGGAATAGCCCGAATTTCTTCGGAAATGTTGTCTTCCAAAGCTGGAATAGTTGCTGGCTTATTTCTGTAGACTTTAGACTTGACGTAGCCCCACAAAAAATAGTCTAAAGGCGTCAAATCGCATGATCTTGGTGGCCAACTTACCGGTCCATTTCTTGAGATGAATTGTTCTCCGAAGTTTTCCCTCAAAATGGCCATAGAATCGCGAGCTGTGTGGCATGTAGCGCCATCTTGTTGAAACCACATGTCAACCAAGTTCAGTTCTTCCATTTTTGGCAACAAAAAGTTTGTTAGCATCGAACGATAGCGATCGCCATTCACCGTAACGTTGCGTCCAACAGCATCTTTGAAAAAATACGGTCCAATGATTCCACCAGCGTACAAACCACACCAAACAGTGCATTTTTCGGGATGCATGGGCAGTTCTTGAACGGCTTCTGGTTGCTCTTCACTCCAAATGCGGCAATTTTGCTTATTTACGAAGCCATTCAACCAGAAATGAGCCTCATCGCTGAACAAAATTTGTCGATAAAAAAGCGGATTTTCTGCCAACTTTTCTAGGTAATAAAATTCAATGATTTGCAAGCGTTGCTCGTTAGTAAGTCTATTCATGATGAAATGTCAAAGCATACTGAGCATCTTTCTCTTTGACACCATGTCTGAAATCCCACGTGATCTGTCAAATACTAATGCATGAAAATCCTAACCTCAAAAAAATCACCCGTTAAGTGAAGTCAACGTAACTGTCGTACACGATTTGCCCGGTGTTGGCAAAAATCTACACAACCATGTCGCTCACTTTATGACCTTCTACGTTAATGACACAAACACAAACGCTCTAAATTGGGCAACCGCCACAGAATATCTTCTCTATCGCAATGGTGTACTGTCCGGCACTGGTATTGGTGATATGACCGGCAAAATTAGCACCAAATATGCCGATTCATCAAGAGGACCCGATGTGCAACTCTTCTTCAGTGGCTACTCGGCTAGTTGCTCCGCTACCGGTGTTGTTGGTGAGCTGCTATCGAATAGCTCGCGCTCTGTGAATATTTTCCCCGCCGTGTTGCATCCAAAATCACGTGGTTCCGTTACACTCGCTTCCAACGATCCTCTTGATGCTCCACTCTTTGTCGGAAACTATTTAACCGAGGATCATGATGTCAAAACGCTTGTTGAAGCCATCAAGTTCGTCATACGTTTGTCGGAAACGCCAGCGCTGCAAAAGTTCAACTTCACGCTGAATAAGACCCCAGTAACACAATGTGCATCGATCGACTTCGGCACCGATGAGTACTGGGAGTGCGCTGTACGTTATCGCACCGGTGCCGAGAACCATCAAGCGGGCTCCTGTAAAATGGGTCCAGCAAACGATACCTTGGCTGTGGTGGACAATGAGTTGCGCGTGTATGGCGTGCAGGGTCTTCGTGTTATGGACACATCCATTATGCCAGTCGTAATTTCGGGCAATACTTTTGCGCCTGCTGTAATGATCGCCGAAAAGGGTATCGATCACATAAAGCGTGCATGGGGCATCGAAAGTGGTGCCACTAAGAGGCGCCACTCACGTTCAGTATTGTCAGAATTTTTACAACAATCCAGCTAATTGGACAAAAAAAAAGAGCTAAAAACAGCTAGTACATAAATAAATAAATTTGTTTGCTAAAAAAAGCTAAAAAAGTAAAGGCAATTATTCAAATGTTTTATTAATTTTTTCGCAAAAAACAGCAAACAGGTTGGTACATATTTCTTACATCCAATAACATATTAAAGGTTATTTGCATGATACAAAAAAGGTATTAGTAGTAGGGATATTTAAGTATAATCTGTATCGACAGGAATATTTCCTGTGGTACTTAGAGTTCTTATAGGGTTGCCACCTGTTTAAAAAATTATATAATCCGCACCGATCATTGGATTGCAAAAATTAGGTTTCAAATGATAGGGCTTGGCCTCTAGATGATCACCAGTGTATTACTCTTTGATTAGGGTTGCCACCTTTTTAAAAATTATAGGATCTTCACCGTTTGGTGGACTAAAAACTGAAGTATCAAGTGAAAGGACATAGTCTCTGTATGTGCAATAAGCTTATATTTTTTGTTTGAGTGGTTGGTGGAGGGTTGCCACCTATTTAATAATTACTACTTTATGTATGTATAATAAGTTAGCACATTTTTAGTTAGTGACATCAGATGCGCACGTTTCATTCAATTTTAAAAAATGTGGTGTGAAATGAAAAGGCTTAGCCTCAGAGGTGCAGTAAAGTTTTATTCTTCGAAGAGGGTTGCAACCTGTGCGAAAATTTAAAAAAATGTGGGCTGTTCGTTAGATTAAAAAGGATGAGGTGTCAAATGAATGTGCAATAATATATAATTTTTTTAGTAGAGTTGCCAACTGTTTAAAAATTATAAGAGCCCTCCGTCCGTTGGATTAAAAAATTAGGTACGTCACGTACACCTGAGTACACTCTTCTGCTAATTTTTCATATAAAAAATCTTTGCGTATTGTCTTTTGGCCACTTATTTATTTATTTATCGATCGATAGACTTTCTTCATTAGTAACTTTATTTGATTGTAACAGAACAGGCTTTAGCGCAAATGCAAAAATTTGGCACAGAACTTGTTATTTTTTTAAATTTTCTTTTGTTAACGTTTGATTTTTTCATTAAAAATAAAAAAAAAGCTGGGATGATTAATTAATTTGTCAGAAACTGTCAGTTCTATCGGAAAGTGATGTAGGCGTTAGATAGGGCGTTTTTGAACTGGCTGCCGCGATAGGCCGCTCTTCCACTCAGCCATCAAGATATGTACTCGTAGTTAGACAGATTTCATAGAGGATGTGCACTGCGACCTTGGGTCTATTGTGCAAATGTGCTTGGCGCCCGTGCATGCATGTGCACGCCAGTCGCTGAAGCTTCTAAGGCGATCCTCTCACTGTACTGAGAGCGGCTCTTTCAGACCATGGCACTGCTGCATATTTAATTATTGGACTAACTGTATTGCTGTATATCCAACGCCAGAACTAGGGACTGCACACGCATGATTTTCCGCCGGCCAGTCTTCTGCGCATCCATTAAAGCTCGAGTGGCTATCGTGACAGCGGAGTACGTTGTGCTTCCTTCATGAAATTTTTGCAGTCAAGTATTACACCTAGATATTTTACTTCATTTCACATTTCCATCTCTATACCACACATCGTTATAGGGTTAATGCCCCGTTAATCACAGCACGGACATAGGCCTAACATAGTTTCCACATGCATTCTTAGAAATAATTTATTCAGAGATCTTCAACTTAACGAATACTATTTGCACTGCTTAGCCAAACGAAGTACTTGAATCTACAATGATTTATGCATGTGTAAATATGTACATTTGTTTCATTGTAGCTGTGTGTTTTGTAGGCACGTGCCTTTTTTTCCTTGGAGTTTTATCTAAGGAAACACTTTAAATTTGTTTGTTATTCGCAAAAATGCTATGACAGTTATCTTTTCTATGCTCGACTGCAAATAATAAAAATAAATACTCGCTTTGTTTGCTCTTTTTTTTTTGATTGAACGTGACTTCGCAGGCACACTAATGCATAATTTTTCGAGTACGAGTAAAAATGAATACACTCTAGTTTTCCATGTGCCAAGCCAGTCGGCACATTTAACCAAAATCTAAAGAAAGAGTGTTCAGATATCTTTGACTTAAACATTTAGCATATTTACAAACTACAAATTACAAAAAAAAAACACAATGAACACAATAGAAGAGTTGCCACCTGTTTAAAAAGTCAAGTTCAACTTAATTCATCAGTTAGTTAGGTTTTAGTTTCAATATATGTTTAATAGGGTTGCCAGATTAAATATTAAACGTAGGCTATGAGTTTCAAACGGAAGAAGTGTAAGAAATCTTCGAAAATATTTTTGCAAGGGGTTACCAACTGTCTAAAAAGCGAAGTACAATTTAATTCATAATTTAAATTAAATAATATTATCGTGGTATCTAAAGTAAATTGTTTAGAAAGTATGCTTAAGAAAAATAAAATACATACATAAGTACACCCTAAAGTTCATTGATTTTAACCGAAAATCCGTTTTTGAGTTATTCGAAAAATGTCATGGAAATCGCTTTGGAACCGAATCAATCACCGCAAACAAAATCGACTTTTTTAAAAATTTACTTTTAAGACTACTTAAAGCCGCAGATCAAGAGCTTACCAGCTCCTGGCTCTTGTGTGGTATTGGGCCACATTCTAACTCTTCTTCTTCAGAAGTATTTGAGAACCTTTAGTAAGGCCTGGAGTCCATTGTGTAAAAGATCCGGATCAACTCCTTAATTCGGAATTATCTCGGGAATTAACTGCAGTTGATCCGGTTTAAGTCCTAGAGTTAATTCACAAACTTAACTCGGATCAAGCGAATATTCGATCACAACACTGACGAAAACTGAGAAAGCGTAGAATAAAGAGAAAATACAAAACTACCATGGGCAGTACCTTACCGTACTAATTCAGATAGGAATCCAATTAAAATTGAATAAGAACTTATTTGAATGTATACGGAGACTGCATTACCGACGACAAAGTGGATGTCCTTGCTAGTTTTGAATTTTCTTCGTGTTCTGCGCTCTCTGAGCAAAACAAAGCACCAACAAATTCATGCGTGGTAGCCGAATGGTGAGGGCTGCGTACTACAAGCCTGCAGGTCCCAGGCTCGATCCTCGGTTGGAGGGATTGCCAAAAAAATTTTGTTTTTATTGTTAGATAATTCTTTTATTTTTTATTAGTATATTTAATTTTATTTTATTTTATTTTCGTTTGATTTATGTTATTTTCCATTTTTTATTTTATTATTAGTTAATTTAAAATTTTAGAGTTTAATTTTACCAAAAAAGTCAACGGCAACTAACTAAAACCAACTTTTTAAAAATATAGAAGTTATAACTGAATGAAAAAAAAATGAAATAATATTCTACTGGCCATGTGATTCGAACCTACGACCTCGAGGCTCATAAATCCACATTACTGCCGTCTGTCCAGGCACGATTGTGATAAGATCAACTGTGCGCTGTTAATCCGGATCAACGTTGCCGTCTGTCTATGCTTTAGGTCTTGTTTGGAAGCAGATTATGCTCAGTCAGGGCCGGATTACGAATGTGGGGGCCCGAGGCCGTTATTCATGTGGGGGCCCTTTTTGAGTTAATAATTACATACAATTAATTGGAAAAAAAATAATTATATTTTCATTTTAACAGTATCGTTAATTATTGACTTCTAACCACGTATTTTCTTTTGAAATTCTCGCCTGAATTCCTTTTTACTTGCCGCTCATGTTGCATGCTGTATTAAACGACTGACCCCGGCAGTCTCTGCTTCTGGTAAGCTGTTCTGATTATTTTCTTCTAAATCAAATATAAAATATTAAATATAAAAAAAAATTGAAAAAAATAAAAATTCTTGCAACTTTCTTTCTCAGTAAATTTGTTTGCTTTTCGAAGCATTGATCCAATAATCAGCAAAATCGTCA